TAACCGAGATGACCGAAAATCGATCGGTGTTCGGAGGATGGCCGAGATGATTTTGGTCTTGGAAGTGGCTCGGTTAACCGAAAACCGAGATAACCGAAGTCTAAATCTCTATTTCGGTCGTTTGTCGGTAAGGGGGGCCGGCAGTTCGGTAAACCAATAACCGACCGTTCGGTTACCGGTTATAACCGAACTAACCGAAACTCCACCCCTACAAGGGGGAAACATTATTCCAAAATCTGAGATAGGCGCCACTAAGTTTGAGTATTGCATTACCTGAACACCATGTTGTGGTTGTGCAACTGCAACAGCAGCCAAACAAGTCGGACACCGAACGACCTTCCCGAAATGTACCTACAAATCCTCACAAGGTTATAAAAATCGTCGCTGACTTGAGAAGCAGCCTCGGAATAGAGCAACTCTCATAAATCGGACGCTGCAAGGCCCCCGTATAAACACTAACCTCTGGTCTCTACCGCATAAGTCGAGGCTCAGTTCCATCACATTATAAATTGTCAAACAGGAATCGAACCTCGTACCTCTCGCAAGCTTTGTGAGTACTCTACCAATTGAGTTACAGTCCCTTGATGCCAATTTTCACATTAAATTTTTGTATTAAATTTAATGGCGTAAGAAGAGGCGACTAACACGACGCCAATGGCAAGTAGGAGAGAAAGGAGAGCGTTGGTTGGAAGAGAAGCTTCACGGAGCTTCAAGAAGTGAGGAGCGGCAACATGGAGTGAGAACAAAAAACAAGAGGAGCTGCAAGGAATCGAACCTCATACCTCTCGCGAAGCGGTTGGAAGAGAAGCGTCGCGGAGCTTCGAGAAGTGAGGAGCGACAGCATGGAGTGAGAACAAAAAACAAGTGGAGCTGCGAGTAATCAAATCGTTCTAAGCGCATTTGATACCTTCAATCGTTCTAAGCGCATCTAAGACCTTCAATGACGCAGCAAGGCCCCGCACTAACGCCTTGTAAACACTAACCTCTGGTCCAACCATCTTCATCTCTAAACCAAACCGCCATTCTCACTAACAACTAGGTAAGCATAAGCCTAGACTCAGTTCCATTACATCATAAATTGCCAAACAAAAACCAAAAAATAAGTGGGCTGCGAGAAATCAAACCCCGTACCTCTCGCAAAGTGATGCGAGCACTCTACCATTTGAGCTCCAACCCCTTGATGCCATTTTCACATTAAAAAGTTATATTACAATTAATGGTGTTTTAAGAGGCGACTAACCTGGTGCCGATGGCAAGTAAAAGAGAAAAGAAAGTGTTGGTTGGAGGAGAAGCGTCGCGGATCTTAGAAAAGTGAGGAGCGGCAGCCTAGAGTGAGAACAAAAAAACAAGTGGAGTTGCAAGGAATCGAGCTCGTACCTCTTGCGAGTTGGTTGGAAGATAAGCGTCGCGGATCTTCGAGAAGTGAAGAGCGCCAACCTAGAGTTAGAACAAAAAACAAGTGGAGCTACAAGGAATAGAACCTCGTAACTCTTGCGAAGCAATGTAAGCACTCTACCAATTGAGCTACATCCCATCAATGTCAATTTCACATTAAATTTTTTTATTAAATTAAATGGCTTTTGAAGAGGCGACTAACCCGGCGCCGATGGCAAGTAGGAGAGAAAGGAGAGCATTGGTTGGAAGAGAAGCGTCGCGGAGTTTCAAGAAGTGAGGAGCGGCAGCCTGGAGTGAGAACAAAAAAACAAGTAGAGTTGCAGGGAATCGAACCCTGTACCTCTCGCCAATTGGTTGGAAGAGAAGCATCGCGGAGCTTCGAGAAGTGAAGAGCGGCAGCCTGGAGTGAGAACAAAAAACAAGTTGAGTTGCAAGGAATCAAACACCATACTACTCGCAAAGCGATGTGAGCACTCTACCTATTGAGCTACAACCCCTTGATGTCAATCTTTACATAAAAAAGTTTTATTAATTTTAGTGGCGTTTGAAGAGGCGACTAACGCGGCGCCGATGGCAAGTAGGGGAGAAAGGAGACTGTCGGTTGGAAGAGAAGCGTTGCAGAGCTTTGAGAAGTGAGGAGTCGTCCCGAATATCACAATAAAAATCCAAATTAAGGCCCAAGTATAAATCTTAATTGGGTGCAATATAGGACAAGTATGTTAACCCGGGTCGGTACATGTACCCCTACTTCGATTGTTTGAAACATTATCTAGCGATTGGGTGTTGGTTGAAAACTACGATCTATAATTTAAACGATTGTAAAAGCAATTGGTTTTGACACTAAATGAGAAGGATTCACTCAGGTGTATCTCCCCCTAACTAGCTACCATGACTCGTCGGATCGAATGAAAACGTTTGGTGGAGGTGGTTGCGAACTGTAGGGAAGTGCAGCAAGTGATGTAATATCACTCTCTCGGTCTCTATGCCAAGGAATTCGGATTAAGCTACCAAGGTAGCTCTCTTGGCCTAATCGACTAAGGGTTGTCAATTCTTCTCCCTCGAATCGGAACGGCCAAAACACAACCAACCTAGGTGCTAACATGAATAAGGAGAGTTGCCCTACTTTAACCTAGATAGGAGACATGAATTGTCTAAGAAAATCCAACTTTACAAGCATCTTATCAAAAAGGGGGTTTTCTCTCTACCTAGGTTAGAATGGCAAATAGATTGATAGGCAAACACACAACACAATCTTCCATGAAAATACCTCCAAACTCATATTAAAACACACCAACACATAATCAATCATTCCATACAATCATTCACATGGTAGAAGTTAGGGTTCACAAACATCCAAGTGAAAAGGGCCACTACTCCATGCTAGGAGAGAGAAAACACAAGGAGAAAGAAGAAAAACCATAATGGAGATGCTTGAATCGTTCCTTGGGCAGTAGAGATCTTCCTTTGGGGAAGATTTTCCCAAATCCTTGCCTTGGAGTGAAACCCTAGCCTCTTCTCCCTTCTTGCTCGTCAGTTTCTCTCTCTAGAATGTTGAAGAAGAAGAAGACTTTCTCACTCTAGCCCCCCCCCTCCCTTTTATCCTTCAGTTCAGCCCTCCTTTTATACCCAGGTCGAGCTCGATTCACGGTCCCATTTCACGGTCGTGAACATATGGCGGGGACCATGGTCTCGAACAAAAACGCACTGCTTCATTAAGTCTCTTCACGGTCTATGGCTTAAGTTCACGGTCTTAGCGACCGTGAAATGGCTTGGTTCCATTGAGACGTGAGAGCTGCTCTGGACGCTTGGCGGTTCACGGTCAAAGAGCTCAGTTCACGGTTGAGTGACCGTGAACTGGTTGGACTCTAGAGAGACCGTGAGCTCCCTTTTCACCGTCTGTCTGACCGTGAACTCTCTGCTCCCGCCGTGATCCTCAGTCAGCTGCATCCATCCTTTGACCCGTTTTTGCTCCTTTTCGTCCAACTTTCGACTCTGGGGTCGATTTCACCTGCTAGAATCTGAAACGTACTAAAACAAGACACAACCTAGCGTAAAACCAACCTTACGGAGCATAAATGCCTCAAACATCCAAGGTAAAAGGAGGATAAAACATGTACAATCAGACCCGAATCAGAGTGGCACCCTGGAGTGAAAACAGAAGACAAGTGGAGTTGCGAGGAATTGAACCCCGTACCTCTCGCGAATTGGTTGGAAGAGAAGCGTCGCGGAACTTCGAAAAGTAAGGAGCAGCAGCCTAGAGTGAGAAGAAAAACTAGTAGTATTGCGAGGAATCAAACCCCGTTACCTATGGTGAACAAAAAACAAGTGGAGCTGCGAGGAATCAAACCCCGTACCTCTCATGAACTATCCGAGTACTCTACCAATTAACCTACAGCCCCTTGACATTAATCTTGACATTAAATATTTTTATTAATTTAATGACATTTCAACCAACATATGTTGCGCATATATCCGAGTACTCTACCAATTGAGCTACAACCAACTATATGTTGCATATACTTTGGTTCAAATAGTTACAATGCACGCATTGTCTACAATATATCATTTTTTTAATTTTTTTTACAAACAATTCATATATTGTTTGCTTGATATGACACAAACTATCACTATTTTTTTTTCTTCCAAGTATGTCCCTACTTTTTTATGTGTTCTTTTTTTTTATATTAAAAACAAAGAGTAAATGTGACAACTCACCAAAAGGTAATATAAATTATTTCAATACTACAATAGGTATCACAAAACCAAACAATCAATTTTCTTATATACATATGTATATTATTATACATGCATCGATAAAGTTTTTGCCATGATTCGGAAAAGGCCTTTCAACCACTGAAAATATATGAACTAAACTAACAAATCAGTGATAGTTTGGTTGAAAAAGTTACAATGCACGTATGTCTACAATATATTTTTTTAAAAATTTTTCTGCCCGAACAATTCATATATATATTATATTGTTTGCTTAATAACACAAATTATCACTAATTTTTATGAATTTTTTTTCCTTCCAACTATGTCTCTACGTTTTTATGTATTTTTTTATATTAAAAACAAAGTGATATTCTACCCAAAAAACTAAGGGGTCGTTTGGAAGTTGTGATTCTTCAAATTGATGTATTAGGTCAATTAGTGCATTATCATTTGATGTATTGATTCAATGCATGTATTAGGAAAATATTTTGTTTGGAAGAGCAATGATGAAACAAAAAGTAGGGTAGACAATCCCTCATTAACAATCTCACCTTTTAGTAGAGATTTATAATCATTCATTTTGAGTGATTGTAGGTGGGCCCAACAAAAAGGTAATGCATGCATTCTAACTCAAAGTGAACCAAAAAAACGACTTAATCATATCATTACATGTATTTGCTAAATACCTCACTTCAAATCTCAACCTCCAAACGACCCCTAATATAACTTATTCAAATACTAATAGGTAATATAACTTATTTAAATAGCTACCATGTATACTACTATATACCAATTTATGCATATATTATTATGCAAATATACATGCATAATATGGATGTATGAATTCGGAAAAGGCCTTTCAACTGCCGAAAAAATGGACTAAACTGACAAATCTCCAGCTCGAATGAATAGAGAGGACTGAGAAGAAAAGAGTATGGTTTACAAGCAAATGGAAAACAGAACCTGACGACAGAAGTACAAACCAAACAGCTAACAACAGCATTATCATCTACTTCCCGCAGCATTCAAGTCAATAGGGGAGAAAGTCAGAAAACCATGTACAAAAGAACTAGAATGGAACACCTCAACGTTGTGATGGGTTCCTTCAATAGCGCTGACTGGCTCAAGAAAAATGATTCCTTGCCCATGGAACCCCTATTCTGCTGGTGTTCCGATTCCGTTGTCCCCAATTGTTATTGTTCTGTCGTACGCCACTGTTCTGCCGCGCACGCGCACCATTGTTATGTCTTACAGCATTGTTCTGCTGCTGCACGCCATTGTTATGTCGCACAGCATTGTTCTGCTGCACCAAGGCCCTCATCCTTTGCTCCTTCATATTAGCAAACATAGCATCCAGAGTCTGTGGCCTCTGCTTCATGCCTCCATTCCCATGCTGCTGTTGGCTTTGAGGTGGCTGGCAAAAGAGCACAGACAAAAGTCGCAAAGTCAATACCATGTTCATGGTTACTTTATTTTCTCTGATTATTGGTTTCAGCACTGCTTTAGCAAAACATTCGTCTAGGAGTAGTTCAACAGGGAGACACACACACAAAAAAGTTACTTAAGAGACAGTACCTTTGCAGTGAAAGCACCAATTTCACCCCTCCTTACCATGAAAGACCCCTCCCTGCATGCACAACATTACAAAGAAAGAATTGACTCCAGGATGAAGATGGATACCAGAAAGACAAATACCTAAAGGAACACCAAGCTTCTTCTCCAAGAACAAATACAGATGTCAACTGCCACATAACCAGGCACTGGAGAAGCTCTCGCAATAATGAGACCCAAGTCTTACTCAGGTGACTTACATACATCCAAATGAATCCAAATACAACCTTTTTCAACACAAATTTAAAATGAAGCCCAGGTCGCAGATTTGCTGATCTTTTCAATTTCAAAAATAGATTTACAATCCCGACTCGAGACTCAAATTTGGAGGCCTTGTTGAAATAACATGCCCGAAAAAACTTCCATAGAGTAGTGATCCCAAAAACATATTGAAGTACTGTGCCTAGCAGGAGTTCATGAACATATCTCAAAGCTTGAGAAGCAAGCGCCCCCAGAATCAGAGAAGCTTTTCCTGGCAAGTGCACCCTACACAGAACCTCCCACCAAATAACATGCTCAAACTTCACAACAACCAGAGTAGAGACACAAACCAGAACTCCCCACAACCAATAATCTGTCGTGAAATGAAACTTAAACAATCGCCCTTCAACCAACCAATATCTGTCACTACATAGAAGACCCTCACCACAACTAAACCCCAACAATGCCAATCGGGATTTGAGCCATCAGAGCTGACTCGCATGAGAAGGATCTTTGGAAGAATCATTCTGACCAACATGCACAAGTGCTGAAGTGAATGGAAGGAGTTGGACTTCATTTTTGTTGGTGCCATTTAAAAAACTTATTCAGGCTGAACCACATTTTGTTCCCATTGAATTCAGGTGACCCTTAACTCTAGGGGTGAATAAGAGCAGATGGGAAGAACGAATGCAGCATTGTGACCAATCTCAGATGATGACCAAAGGAAAATCTGAAGATCTTGCCACAAGGTGAAAAGCTATGCAACCGTAAACATAGAGGTTGGCATGTTTTAGACCACCAGGCTGACCAAATAGTAGTGAAAATGGGTTGAAGATGTGTCCAGATGAGAAACCACATCTACCCCTTCAACTCTTCCAATAGGCAGTTATTGGAGATGAAGTACCAATCAGAAACTTTGATCTTATCATTAATCTGTGCAGTTGAGACAGATTACTTCCATGTAAACTCTCTTCAGCATCACATGCAACACTTCCGTAACCAACAAACAGCCAAAGAGACTCTAGGTAAAAGTAGTTTGCCTTCATAACTTGTTTCCTTCAACCAAAACATCACTACTAAAATAGATCCACTTGCTCCACTAACTACCCAGGTCATGGGGAACACAATCCAAAACCAATGCTTAACACCAACCAATTAGGCAATCCATTGTGGGTGATGCTGGCGTAAAATCATCAATACTAGCACAAACCCAATACTGCCACTTTAACATGACCAATCATGAACGGAAGTATCACAATACTACTTGGCGGTACCCAACATTTAACCTGAATACCACATGCCACAGATAATTGAATTACCTGAAATAAGTCCATGATTCAGTGATGAGAGTGTGAATAGATGATATTAAATATAAATTTCTAGACCATTGCATAGCGTTCATAGCTGGTAGCACGACTGCAGAATCCTGAGATAAGAGCTAAAGAATACCTTGCTTTGTTTGGATTGGACATCAAATTACGCTCGAACGGTCTATTACGAAGGGGAGCAACTGCAGCCTTTTGTGCAATATCTTTTGCTATAGGAAAATGGTTACCCTGGAAATTTGACCTCCTCTGAGCTAAAGCTCCCTGATGACCAAGTTTGAATAAATGCAACCCACTGATTAACATAAGACAATGCAGGACACAGGACGAGCTCATAGAATTGTTACAGAACATGAATACCTGTCGAACAAACGGCCTAGAGGCCATATATTTCTGCACCTTCAAGGCTTTTTCTTGAGCAGAATTGTTAAACATCCTCTGGTTTTTGTTCTACAGACAGACAATAGTTGTCAGGTTAGCAAATCCAACAGCAATCTCATAGGACCAAACACGAAGGACAGTTTGTCATAAACTGAGTTTCTTACCGGAGCCCTGCGTTGCTTGTTTGGCTTTGCAGTAGAAGTCTTTGACATTTTAATGATGTCATCTAATACAGAACAACAAGAACAGGTCATGATCATGAGCAATTTATAACTTTACAACTGAAACTCAATCTAATCGCTAATTCAAGATTGACATACCTAAGGGCATGTCCAGTTTCTTCTCTGTATTGGCGATCTCTTCATGGGTGAGTGGTTTGGTCGCCATCTGGGGTAAAAAGGGATACAAAACCCGGTCACGTATAGAAACTAGCATACTATGCAACCATTGGAACTTCAAATACTTGGAAATAACATATAGAAACAGATCCACAAGGAAGTGGCAGGTTTCCAGTCCTAAATTGCAAGAAGGACACATGCAAAGCCAGAAAAGCTAACCACCCTTGAATCAGAACCGACCATGTCTACTTACTATAACTCCCTGTGATTATTTCAGGAATGAGATTCAGTTCTAAAATCCCAATCCACAGCCATAAGCACAACAAACCCTAGTAGACTTACAAACTGAATAATTATCGAATATATCAATCAACAATCAGCTAAGGCCATGCCCATCACCGCATTGGCATCTACTCGAGGAACCAGCTCTTCAATATAGCATAAACAAACAACTTCCGCAGCCGGAGAGCTCCAAGAACTAAAGAAAACAATCTAATTACACTTAATTCGTCCACGGAAAACCCCCCAAAAAGCAACAGATTCCCTTCTCGTCCTAAAAGCTAATAGGATTAGGGTTACGAACCAGAGACGACACTCACACTACACTGACCATCACACGACGAACGATTCAACCAAACGGACGGACGGACATTCGCCACACGAAACCAGTCAGGAAGGCCACAAACGCAAAGCATAGAATCAAATTGGCCAGAACGTACCAGTTTCGCGAGGGAGGCTTAAACCGAAGGACGGTTGCGAGAGAGAAAGCTGGAGACCGACGGGAGAAATTTGACCGGAGTTTAGGGTTAGGGTTGGGGCTAAGCGCTCCGTGAAGCAGCTCCAAAGCACGAGAGCACTTCTAATGCTTCCTTTCTTCGCAGTAGCAAAACCACGATTCTTCGGCGAGAAGCGACCAAATGGTTGGACGAGTTGATAGAGGATGGGGGAGACACGCGCGCGTGTAACTGCGTATATATAGCAGGCCAGGCCGGGAGTTTTGCTGCGTTTGTTAGGTTTACGGTTTACCGCTTATTCCATCTGTTAAAATTAGGAAACCAAACCAACAAGTTACCAATTTAAGCGATAATCGTCGTTGTCAGTTCAGTTATCGATTAACCGAAATACAAATATCAGCCAATGAAACTGAACCTTTCATTCGTTATTAATTTAACCGAACCTTTTATTCGTTATCGATTTAATCTATACTGTCATTGTCGGTTTCGTTATCGATTAACCAAAAACCAATTACCACCCCTACAGGGGCAGAGTTAATAGCAATGGACCGCTAAAATGTCGACAAAGGTGATCTACAAAATGGAAGGCAAAGTAGAGGGCATGAAGAACATAACAATTGATGACAGACTCAGATTCTTTATTCCTGAATGCTTAACTCTCAAGGGAATGATTAAAAGAAAACCTATTGATCCTAAAGGCTTAAGTAACAGTTTTTTATTCTAGCAAATCCTCTGCTTCTAACCACAATCTAGTGTGGCATCTTCTAATCACCCTGGAAGAAATATGGAGAAAGAAAATTCAATAGAAAGGGGTGGAAATGATCATCATCGTCGTCAATTGTTTCCGTAGATCCACTTCTCGGCATTACTCGTGTAGTTAACCAGTTCTTCCGGCTTGAACCACAACTTGATCTCGTCCTTTGCGGTTTCCGGGCCATCACTTCCATGAATGATGTTCCTAAAAATGGAAGGAAGGGAGGCAATGGAGGATGTGATGAGATAAGAAGAATTATGTGATGAAGTGACATGTGACAAGAGGAAGAGATTGAAATGCATACCTTCCAACAACAACAGCCAGGTCACCTCGAATAGTTCCGGGTTCAGATTTCTGAGGATCTGTGGCTCCAATGAGCTTCCTGCCATACTTGATCACACCTTCCCCTTCCCACACCTGCAGAAGTTAAATGGCCTTTAGTCGACTCTACGTTAATACACAAAACATACCAGACATGGTGAAGGTGGGTGGTTCTTCTCATACCATGGCCAAAACAGGACCAGAGCTCAGGAAGTCGCAAAGGCCATTGAAGAATGGCCTCTCTTTCAGGTCATGGTAGTGCTTTTGAGCAAAGCCCTTTGAAGGAACCACTATCTTGACTGCCACAAGCTTGAAACCTTTGCGCTCGAATCTGGAAATGATTTCTGAAATCTGGACACAGATAAAAACACATTCCAAATTAGTCATTAGATGTATGATTATGAATACACAGTAAATGGCAGGAAATTCTGCTGTCGTTCTAGCGAGGAAAGGTAGAAATGGCAGAGCGAAAAAATAGATGAAATGCTTATCATACCAGTCCTCTCTGCACCCCATCAGGTTTGATAGCAATGAAGGTACGCTCCAGCTGAAAAGCAAAATCAACATCCATCGTTTACAAAGTCAATAAGAAGAGATGAAAAGAACATTGTAGAGAACTGAAGCCACTTTGATTACCTCTGCAGCACGGGCCTCCTGTTCTTGGAGCATATAAGCTGCACATACAAAACCAGAGGAGTTTCCACATAAATATCAAATCGATAGATCGTAATCCAAAACCAGAGACATTATACTTAGATGCTACTCATGAACAAACAACTGTGCGCATAATTTTGACAGACACACAACAATCCACATATCAGTGATAGAAATGCAGCCCAGAACTAAAGGTTTCACCAATTGCCACGGCTTGAACAATGGAGGGCAAGGAGATTGCTCCTCTCCCTTTCTCTAACTAACCTCACTCACATTGCGATGTTCATTCATAAATCTACCTATTCTACGACCACAGTGCAAGAAGACCTCCATTGCAGTTAACAATTGAAAAAAATAAATCACAGAACGGCACTGAACCTGTAGTGGATCCGGATCGAAAATCGAACGAAATGCCACAACACTACGTATACCAGATCAGAAAGGAACCTAACCTGCCATGGGAATCGCAAGTGCTCCAGAAATCCACTGCGGAGCATTTGCAGAACCAGTCCTTCCATAGGCCGAAACGACGATCGGCAGCTTTCCGCTCAACGAAACCGCCGCGGCAGCTCCTGCGGCTCGCCCCTCTACAATCCATCAAAACGCCTAATCACCATCAGAAATCGTCACCAATCCAAAACCACAACAGAAATTCCGAACAACAACCAAAAAGTGGGGGGAAACGGCCTGATTTCCGACGGATTAATCCGACGATGACCGCCGATCAACGACTCAAAAGATAAAAGAACACACATAAATCCGGTTCAATTGTAAGCACCGACAGATTGCGGAGAGCAAAATGAGGAAACTAACCGGAGTAAAAGCGAGAGTTCTTTGAAGCGGAGGAGAGAAGGGACCTGGCGGCCCTGGAAGCGGATCTGAAAATCTGAGAGCTCATTTTCCTCTTCTTTGATCGGAGCTCGGGGAAGGACAACAATGGAGGAGAGGGAGGAGAGGGGAGCAAGCAAACAGGGAGAGTGTGAAAGAGGTTTAGGTATATAAATGCGAATATATTGGCGAAAAGGGAAATTGAACGGAGTGTTTGTGGCTAAACCGGAACTGGAGTCCGTAAAATAAAAAAAAATCCCCTCCATAAATAACGGTTCTGTGGGTGAGTTAGTTTCAGTTGATCAGTTCACACTCGCGTAACAGTCTTATTCTTCTTACACGTGTCCCGTCGTCTTCGTTGTTTAGGGTTAATCTTTCTGGGATCGGTTATGATTGACAAATCATGGAGATCTCTTTCGTTTAAAAATTATTTATGGAGATCTTTATTGTTAAAGATGTGTTGATCAATGATTAATCACCTTAACCATAAAAAAAATGATTAATCACCTTCTATAATCTCTTAAGTTCATAATTTGGAGTTTTGGACCTACCATCTCATTTGATAATAATAAAATTACATATTATCAATCTTCTAAGTTGTTATTTTTTAATTTTTTTTTTCAATTTTGAAGATGCAAGACTACATATATATGGAAAAGTTTCAATACAATTTATTCTCGTAAATGGATTCTTTTGTTATTTTATTAGAAAAACAAGATAAATTGAGTATGTATGGTTCATAATTGAATGTGTTTAGGTATTCATTTCTATGTTTTAGTTGAATGACGATTGTGAAAACATTTTTGTTTTAGTAGGTTGTGAAAGCTATTAAGGTGTGTCTTCTATTGTTCATTCATAAATCTATATTTTTTTAATAAATTATATTTTAAAAAATTACAAAAATATATTAATTTCAATTTTCTAATCTTTTTCTCACTTCAGCAATCTCCCGCCAGATCTCTCTTTCTTCTTTTTCTCAATCTTCTCCTTGTCTTAGTTAAGTCGAAATAATACCACTACAAATATAAAACAAGAAATCAATACCAATTCATTAGCCAACCACTACCATTTTGAAAAGCAGTAATACCATTGTAGAAATAAATCACAATTATGAAAAACAATATCATTACACGAAAACTACCAATACAAATAAATCTATACAATTACAAGAGTCAAACCAATACCAAAATCAACCAATACCACCATTACTATGAGAGCAAAATAATATAATTTCATAATTGAATCAATACTGTTGGGGATGTATACATGGCCCGCGTGGGTTGGACCGATAGGGCCCAAGAGTAGAGTTTGGAAGGCTGAGGAATTGGACCCGGCCCAATGGGCCCAGAGACAGGGAAGAGCTTCTCCAGACGGGTGGGGTCCGCAACCCTGACGCGAGGCGCGTGCGACAGGTGGGCACAGGGGTGTCCCAGGGTACGGGTCTGAGGACTAGATGACGTCATGCGCCTGACCCTTCTGAACGGAGTGTCAGATGGTCGAGGCGCATGAGCGCTGGGCCGTACGGAGCATTAATTGCGGGTCTGGCAAGGGGCGGAGGAGAAGGATGTTGGTCGGCCGGGCTTCGAGTATAAATAGTCGGTTGGTGAACTTCATTTACTCAGGTTGGTACTTCTCTCTAAAATTACTATTCACTTCTCTCTCTAGAAAAAGGAACTGACTTGGGCGTTGGAGTGCTAACGAGTCCTCCTCGGGACTCAGGTTAGCCGTGCAGCGTGCAGGTTCGAGCGTGCTGGAAGGGTCAAGCGCGAGGGTTCGGGACGCCCAGTTACCGGGCTCGAACAATTGGCGCGCCAGATAGGGGGACGCATAGGTATTGAGAAAGCAAGGTGTCATGGAGGCGCTAGGGGCAGGCGAAGGAGAAGGGGGACCGGCGGGGGCCGAGGCGTCCCGGGAGGCACCTGTGTTGTCAGGTGAGGCGCATGCGGTGGTAGACGACGGGGCGCAGGAGACTGCCCAATCCGAGGGGGTCACTCTCACGAAGGAGCACCTACTGCACATAGTCGAGCAACAGGAACAGGCGCTGGAGGCACTTAGGAGAGAAGTGGAAGTGTTGAAAAGAGGAGCTGAGGCGGGCCCCCCATTAGGAAAGAGACGGGACAGAGAGGACAAAGAGGAGGGGGCGTCCAGCGCGTTGAGGCGCATGGAAGACTTAGGGCACCTGACGAAACATATGGCCTCGGATTTCGACGAGCACAATGGATGGGCGCACCGACGACAGGGGAGAGCGTGGGGGGTGCGGCAGCCCCTCGCACGAAGCATACTGGCCGAGCAAGCGAACTCTGTCATCCCGGCGCTTCCCACTTACGATGGGGCGGCCGATCCAGAGGATCACTTGAACAACTACTTCACGAAGATGCAATTATACAACAGCTCCGACGCCACCTTGTGCCGCGCCTTTCCTTCGACGTTTACGGGCGTGGTGTTGGACTGGTACCATCAGATAGAGGAGGGGCGGATTGACAGCTTCGAGCAATTCGCGGCCCTTTTTCTTTCAAAGTTCGCCAGCCGGAAGCGCCGGAGCCTCACCATAAGCGCCTTGTTCAAGGTCAAGCAGCGGAAAGGTGAGGCGCTCAGGGACTTTTACGAGCGCTGGATGTCAGTAGCCATGGCGGTCAAGGATGTGAAGCCCCCGGTCCTAGGGTGCTGCCTGGACGAGTGCACCACGAGCGAAGAGTTGTGCCGAGCGCTGTCTAAGAGGGACGTGACGTCTACCGAAGATTTGGATCGGAGGGTGCAAAAGGTGATCATG